TCATTTTAATTAACAAAATATACACATATGCAATAAGGAGCTCTGGTAGCGTAGTGGTTACGAATCGGGCTACAAACCTTAAGGTCAGTGGTTCGAAACTACCAGCTGCTCCGCGGGAGAAAGATGAGGCTTTCTACTCCCGTAAAGATTTACACCCTCAGAAACCCTATACAGGGTCTCTATGGGTCGGAACCGACTCGATGGCACATAACAACAACAACAACAACACATATGCCTATATTGTTGTTAAGTGCTATCGAGTCGATTCTAACTCATAGTGACCCTGTATAGGGTTTCTGAGGAGCAGTTGGTGGGTTTAAACTGCTGACCTTGTGGTTCGCAGTTCAGTGCTGATTCTTCAGCGTCATGCATGGAGTTGGTTCTGACGCATAGCGACCCTGTACAGGGTTTCCAAGGCTGTAAATCTTTACGGGAGCAGAAAGCCTTATCTTTCTCCCATGGAACAGCTGGTAGTTTCGAACTGCTGACCTTGTGGTTTGCAGCCTGATTCATAACCATTACACTACCAGAGCTCCTTTTCTCTCTATTTATCAATCGATCGATCGATAGATAGATAGATACACACACACATATATGAGTGCAGAGGCTCTCTAAGATAAACATTGGAATGTGAACCACATGATTGGTGATTTGAGTCCACTAGTCGCTCAGGATGAGGCTTTCTGTTCTGTCAAAGATTAGCAGCCTTGGAAATCCTATAGAGGGTGATTGTGAACTGGTTTCCCATTATAGAGGCTCTATATAGGGTTTTCAAGGAATGACTGGTGGGTTTGAATTGGTTGACCTTACGGTTAGCTGTCCAGGTCTTATCCTACAGTGCCACACCAGGACTCATCTTCCGAAAATAGATATAAATATACATGTCTCTATATACATATTGTTGTTAAGTGCTGTTTGTGTGTGTGTGTGTGTGTATATATATATATATATATGGTGTGCTCACCAGCTGCTCCTCTGAAACCCTGTACAGGGTTGCTATGGTTCGGAATCGACTCAACGGCACTTAACAACAACATATATATATGTTGTTGAGAGTACTGGTGTGGTGCTGTAGGATAATGCTCTGGATTGCAAGGGCAGTTTGAACCACAAGGTCAGTGGTTCAAGTCCACCAGCTGCTCCTCAGAAATCCTATATGAGTCAGTATGAGTGCTGGAGGATATATCTATGTTATTATTGAGTGCTGTTGAGTCGGTTCCAACTCAGGCTGTAAATCTTTGCAGGAGCAGGTGGTAGGTTTAAACTACTGCCTTTGTGTTTCACAGTCCAGTGCTTATCGTACAGAGCCATCACATTCCCCAAATATATATATATATCTGTTAATATGAATGATCAGTAGAATTTAAATTCTTGCTAGAATAAAAATAAATTTTTCTCATTACCTTTTTAAAGGCTTACTTTACATTTTGTAAAGTGGTTAAAGTTTTTTGGTGAATGATATTTAGTTAATTTCCATCCACCGGATAATTGTCTTGTCGTGCCAGTACATGTACTAGACACTTCTACTTGGCACTCTTAAAAATGTTGCATTCAAGTGCCCCAGGCATAAACAGTATGGCAGAAATACTCTTTCTTTGTCTGTGTTTGTAAGACAATTTCTTTGATGCCAGAGAAGTATTTTTGGAAGATGAATCATGTCACATTGTGGCCTCATTAAAATTTTAAGTTGTAAATGGTGCTGGTTTGCCTAGAGGTATAAAAATAAATCTTATCTTCCTATGCATATGGGAATACCTGTAACGGAAAATATACTTTCTATTCTCTAGTTACACTTTAGGCAATAAACAGAGAGGTTAACAAGATATGTATTATAATTCTAATTTTGTTTTACTAGAAGCATGCTTCCAAAAGAATACCAATTACTTGAGGATGAGTTCTCCTTTTCCAAACACAGAGAAAGTCGAAATACCAAATGTTGTATTGTTATATTAGATGATCCTATAAAATAAACACTACACCTTCTCTTTTGAAATAGGAGATACAAGATTATTCAGTTTATTAGATGTGGAGGATAATGTAAGGTGAAACTACTCTGATTATGAAAATTTGCTTTCTGAAAACATAGGCTATTATTTAAAGGATATAGAAAAATGTCCTTATTTATTTTAGAATGATCATAATAGAAATGTTGTTGTTGTTGTTAGGTGGTGTTGAGTCCATTCCAGTCCATAGGAACTCTGTGCACAACAGAAGGAAACACTGCCTGGTCCTGTGCCCGCCTCACAATCAATGCCATACATGAACCTATTACTGCTGCCACTGTGCTAATCCATCACGTTGGGGGGGTCCCTCTTTTTCACTGACCCTGCACTTTACTAAACATGTCATTCTCCAGAGACTGGTCCCTCCTGATAATATGTCTGAAGTATGAGAGACAAAGTCTTGCCACCTTGGCATCTAAAGAATATTCTGGCTGTACTTCTTCCAACACAGGTGTGTTTATTCTTCAGGCAGTCCATGGTAATTATAACATTCTTCTCCAAAACCATAACTCAAATGCATCAATTTTTCTATGATCTTCATTACTCATTATCCAACTTTGACATGCATATAAGGCTAATGGAAATACCGTGGCTTGGATCAGGCACACCTAAGTCCTCTAACTGACATCTTTGCTCTTGAAGATGTCTTGTGCAGAAGAGCTGTCTAATGCAATATGTCTTGTTTCTTGACTGCTGCTTTCATGAATGTTGATTGTGGATTCAAGCATAACAAAGTCTTTGACAACTTCAGTCTTTTCTCCATTTACCACCATGTTATTTGTTGTAACACTGATGAATTTTTGTTTTCTTTACATTGAGGTCCAACCTGTATTTATGGATGGGGTCTTTGATCTTTGTCAGCAAGTATTTTAAGTCCTCTTCACTTTCAGCAAGCAAAGTTGTATCTGCTGCATATTGCAGGTTGTTAATGAGTCTTCCTTCAATCCTGATGCCATGTTCTTCATATAATCCAGATTCTCTGGATATTTGCTTGGCATACAGATTTAATAAACATGGTGAAAGAATACAACCCTCGGACCTTTCCTGATTTTAAACCATTCCATGTACCCTTGTTCTGTTTGAACAGCTGTCACGTGGTCTATGTATATGTTCCTTATAAGTATAATGAAGTGTTCCAGAATACTCATTTTCCACAATATTGTCCAAAGCTTGTCATGATTCACGCAGTCGAAAGCCTTTGCATTATCAATTAAGTACAGGTAAACAGCTTTCTGGTATTCTCTGCTTTCAACCAAGATCCATCTGACATCAGCAATGATTTCCCTCTTTCCATGTCCTCGTCTGAATCTGGCTTGAACCTCTGGCAGTTCCCTATCAATGTACTGTTGCAGCCATTTTCAAATTATCTTTAGCAAAATTTTACTTGCATATGATATTAATGTTATTGTCCAATGATTTCCACATTCCATTGGGTCTACTCTCTTTGGAAAGAACACAAATGTGGATTTCTTCCAGTTAGGCAGCTGTCTTCAACCTTCTTGGCATAGATGTGTGAGTGCCTCCAAGTGCTACATCAGTTTGTTGAAAGATTTAAATATTTGTTCCACCAATTCTCAATGGCTTATTCTTTGCGAATGCCTTCAGTGTACCTTAGACTTATTCCTTCAGTACCATTGACCACTGTTCTTTTTGATACAGTGACTCTGTATTCCTCCCACCTTCTTTTAATGCTTTCTGCATTGTTAAATATTTTGCCCATAGAATCCTTCAATATTGCTAATGTAAGATTGATTTTTTTTCTTTATTTCTTTTAGCTTGAGAAATGCTGAGTGTGTGCTTTTCTTTTGTTTTTCTAACTCCTGGTCTCTGCATATTTCATTACAATACTTGATTTTGTCTGCTTGAGCTGTCCTTTGAAATTTCCTGTTCAGCTCTTTTACCTCATTTCTTTCATTTGCTTTAGCATCTCTATGCTGGGGAGAAAATGTCAATATTATTTATTCTTTAGGTAGATCACAGCAGTGAAAATAGAAAAACAAAAAATTGGAAGTAATGCTAATGAATTTGTTGTTCTTGTTGTGTGCGTGTTTTGACATAAGCCCATTTAGATGGCAAAATACTTTAGATAGAATGACAAGCTTTCTAATCCACTGCCAGTAAAACACATAATCCACCTCTCCCATTTGGGATATTTATGTACATGAAAAAATGATTTTCTATTGTAGCTGCAGGTTGGTGCTTTGTATTTAAAACTTCTCACCTGTGCCATTTTAGTAGATTTATTTATCTTTAAATAAGATCCTCAATTAACAACAAACCAAATGCATTGCAAGATCTCCTTTGATTTTGAAGTGGTGATTTGAAAAATATTGATGGTTTTAAGGCAATTTAAGCAGCTTTGTCAATTCAGTTGAATCTGGCTTAGTGGTCACATCTGTCCATGTGTTCTCTTATGCTACTAGAATCCTACATCTGCGACAAATGATATCTACTCTTTTCCTATTACCTCCTCTTGGTTATTTAGTGAGTGACTCAATCACTAGCATGGGTCTCTAATTTACTTAAATAAATTAGAATTTAGTGAGTCAGGGGCAGGAGCTGAGCATTTATACTATGAAATAAAGCAAAAGCAACAGAAATATCTCCAGATGATTCTGATGTTCTGTGAGGATTGCTGTTGTTGTTGTTAAGTGCCTTTGAGTCAGTTTCAACCCATAGCAACCCTGTTATAAGGTTTACAAGGAGCGGCTGATGATCTTAAACTGCCAACCTTGCAGTTCAAACCAATTTTGCAATCCAGTGCATTAACCCACAGTGCCACACAAGGTCTCCTTTGTGAGGTTAGCACCCAACAATGAAAAGAAGGACAAAGTTTAAAACCCAAATGTCAGCATAAACACAATCAAGTCCCTCTTTTTGGGAAGCTGTTACTTCGATTTAACTGTGACATATGTTTGGTATGATAGTGAAATTATAGACCATTGAGGTTTAAGTAAAGCATTGCCGTATTTCACGTTTTCCCTTCTGTCTTCCTAGCAATCATGTATGTCATGGGAGCACTTGGTCCTGCAGTGGGATATTTATTAGGTGGACTTCTTATTGGTTTCTATGTTGACTCCAGAAATCCTGTTGACCTTGACCAGAATGACCCTCGTTTCATTGGAAACTGGTAAGAATTGCTTTCTAATTTTTTTTGTCATTCACTATTTCTAATAATTGAATTATTACTCTTGCAGTTAAAATAAAATTTCCTAAATAGGAAATGAAAAAATAGTTAAAAGTCAACTAGGAGGGTGTACTAGACAGAATAATGACTCTGAAATATAAGCTACTTTCAAATCCTTAGAACCTTTGGATGTTACCTTAAATGGCCAAAGGGAAGCTGCAGATGTAATTAAGGACTGTGAGGCAGAGGTTATCCTAGATTACCCAGGTGCACCCATGTAATCACAAGGGAAAGAGAAAGGCATGCAAGTCAAAGTCAGATAAGTGGGAGTAATGATGGCTGCAGAAATTGGAGTGGTGTGCTTTGAGATGGAGGAAGGGGCCAGGAGTTGAGGTGAGTAGGTGATTTCTAGAACCTCGTCAAGTAAGAAGATGGACTCGCCCTTAAAGCATCTAGAAGAGATGCAGCCCTATGACCTATTTTAGACTTCTAACCTCCATCAATGTAAAATAATACATTTGTGCTGTGTTGTGTTAACTTGTTACAACAGAAGTAAGAAATTAATACACATTTGATGATCTCTTAATTTGTAATCTCTAGAGCTAGGTGTTCTTTTGTAAGATGGCTGTGTTTGTGAGTACTTTGCTGTTTAATTTAATAATACATTTTATTCTTTTCACTGTGCATTTAAAAAACTTTTTTTCGTACTTCCGTATTTGTTGTGGTTGTTGTTAAGTGCCATTGAGTCCGTTCCTACTCATAGCTACCATATATAGGGTTTCTGAGGAGCAACTGGTGGGCTTGAACTGCTGACCTTGCAGCTACCAGTCCACTGCTTTTTCTACAGGAATTCTGGTGTGGCATTGTGGGATAAAGTACTAGACCGCAAGATCAGCTTGAACTACAATGCCTGTATTTCAAACTCAACAACTTCTCCTTGGAAACCCTATACAGGGTGGGGTCTCCCTGAGTCAGGACCGACTTGACAGCATTTAACAAGGACATTTGTCCTACAGCCCACATCTATTTGTATTTCTGCTTTGTCTAGCCTCCCCTGCTGTCTAGCTCTCCAGCCCAATCTTCCCATTGTCACATTTTTTTTTTCTTAATTTTTTTGTTGTTAATTTAGTGAAGGTATATAGGCAAGATCATCAGTTTTACACTCAAATCATATGCTTTGTTTCATCTCACTGATTGCAATCCCCTCCATGAAACAAGAGTTATCCTGCTTCCTCCCTGTGGTTCCCATTTCTACTCCATCCACCTTCCCATTCCTTGTCCTTAGGTATATGTTGCCCTCTTGATCTTGAAAATTCATCTTGAATGATTGACCAGTAATTTTTTTTTCTTTTTTCTTTTAACAGTATTTGCTTCTGTTCCCTTTGTTTTTTGTTTGTTTGTATGTGCACAAAAACACTCAGGAATATATAATCATGTAAACAACCAAAGGGCACATTCTGCAAGCCAGTTTCCTGACCAACAGTACACAGTCTTTCTCTTTCCATGAGTCTAGAGTCCTCAGCTGCTCTCTCTCTCCGTGTCCTCACCTCTGCCTCCATCTCTGGAGTTACTCTTTCTCTGGGTAGGGTTCCACATTCTGCTCATGCTCTTCTTTCTCTCTTGATGGTCGTAGGGTCCTCTGTTCCAGGAATATAAAATCTTACTATTTCCCCCTTTATATTACAAAACTTCTACCTTTACAATTGGAACAATTGCAATTAGTCATAGTAAAGATTACTCACTATTGAAATCAAAAGAATCCTATCTGCATTTCCTTTCACCAGACCCATCTACATTGTCACATTCTTAAGGAAACTTTTCAGTTGGCAATATTTTGTTTTCCCACCTGTTTTGTGGACTTAGCTCCTGTTTGTCTCACTAGACAGTAATTGTTCTAGGACACAGAACAAGGACTCAAACTTTGAATGATACATTATTAACCAGAATAACTAGGCCAGTGTCTGAGGGCTTCACCATTCTCAACTTGACTGTAAGCTGACTGCAAGCACTAACTGAAAGTATTGACTTCCTTTCACATGGATTAGTAATGTTGTGTGCCATTGAGTTGGTTCTGAACATAGTGACTCTGCATAGGGTTTCTGAGCAGCAGCTGGTGAGCTTGAACCATTGACCTTGTGGTTCAAATTGAATTTGCTGTCCAGCGCACTAACCCACAGCACCACATTAGGACTCATGGGTTAGTAATAAGTACATATTAATAAGAAAAATTTCATTTATAACAAAGATAATATTGTTGTTGTTAAGTGCCATTGAGTTGGTACCAATTTGTAGTGACCCTCTTCACACTGAATGAAATACTACCCAGTCCTGGGATAACCTCACAATCATTGCTACATTTGAGCCAATTGCTGCTGCCACTGTGCCAATCCATCTCATTGGGAGTCTTCCTTATTTTTTCCCACCTTCCACTTTACCAAACACTATATCTTTCTCTGGGGACATGTCCAAAGTATGAGAGACGAAGTCTGGCCATGCTGGTTTAAAAAGAGAATACTTCATTAAAATTGTATGTGTCTAGTAATTACTTTTAAAAGGGTTTCTTAGAGTGACTTTGTTCTCTTTGCATTTCATTATAGGATAGTAACCTAATTATTCTGAGGTTGATGGGAATAATGTCTAACACTATTTTCAAAGCAGTTAAGAAATATCAATTAAGTTATGTAACACTTCTCAGTTTTATAAGTAATGCCCTTGGAAGATGGAATTGCTATGATCTACATAAGACTGTCCTGGTAAAAGTTTCAAATGTTGTAGAAAGGATGTTCCCATTGTCAGAGTTCGAGGAATAAAACAGGAGTTTTTAAGTTCTTGACTAAGTGACATTTTTGGTCTCAGCTCTTGTTTTCTTTTAAGTTTCTCATTAAATCAGGATACAGATTTTTTTAAATGTCAAGAAACAAGATTATTAAAATATGTCTATGAACATTCAGTGTATATTGTGTTCTGTCTGGATGTCCATGGGAAGATAAGGGGACATCAGAAGTGAGAGAGAGCAAGGTGAGGAGGAAGGGAAACAGGAGCATTAGCATTACAGACACGCTGTGTAGTCTTTTGAGAGTGTCCTAGTAGACATTAACCCAATTGACAGTAAAATGGAATGATTAGAAATGCAGGCCCTGAGACCATATTGCTTTTGGATTAGATTGTAAATGAGTGTGACTTTGAGAAAGTAAATCCTCTGTTATTCAGATTTTATTTTTATATTTTTAATTCATTGTTATTGTTGATGGTGGTGGTGGTTATGTGCCGTGGAGTTGGTTCTGACTCATAATGACCCTGTACAAGGTTTCAGAGGCTGTAAATCTTTATGAGAGCTGAAAGCCTCATCATTCTTCCATGGAACAGCTGGTAGTTTCAAACTGCTGACCTTGCAGTTTGCAGCCCGATTCATAACCACTACACTACCAGAGCTCCTTGTTGTTATTAGGTGCCATCAAGTCTGTACCAACTCATAGTGACCCTGTGCACAACAGAATGAAATACTGTACGGTCCTGGGCCAGCCTCACAATTATTGCCACAATGGAGCCCATTGATGCTGCCACTTTGCCAATCCATCTCACTGGGGGTCTTCCTCTTCTTCTCTGAAACTCTACCTTACCAAACATGATGTTCTTTTCCAGTGACTAGTCCCTCCTGACAATATGTCCGAAGTATGAGAGAAACAGTTTGGCCATCCTGGCCTCCAAGGAGCACTCGGGCTGCACTTCATGCAACAGAGATCTGTTGGTTCTTTTGGCAGCCTGTGGCACACCTCCAACACCATAACTCAAAAGCATCAATTCTTCTACAGTCTTCCTTATTCACTGTCCAGCTTTTGTATGTATATGACGTTATTGAAAATACCGTGGCTTGGGTCAGGCTCACCTTAGTCCTCAAGCTGACATCTTTGCTCTTCAACATTTTAAAAAGGTCTTGTGCAGCAGATTTGCCTACTGCAATACGTCATTTGATTTCTTGACTGCTGCTTCCATG